AATTTCCACGCAATATCGGCTACACTTCTATAATATCTTATACATTTAATTAATTGCCAAATTAGGTAGAGCCTATTGCCATATTATATACTTGGATTATAGGTAGGTACATATTTATATCTTATAATACTGCAACGATATATCTGTTTGTATATTGTTATTAATACAAAGTATATCAAAGTATATTATATACTGTTAAGTGTGTGTATACCCAGTGATTAAACTGTAGGGGATTGTAGGGAGGACGGAGTACCCCTATTTTTTAAAAATATTTTAGCGTACTCCTTTTAATTATATCAAAATCAATAAGAAATTTAATCATTCGGGCACTTGAGAAAATTTGTTTTATACTCTTGCATTTTTCCTCTTATTTTTTCCCCCCAATTTAAGCACTGGAGCACGGCGATATTTTTACCCCAGGGGCCAGGGAGAGCAGTCAGAAGATGCCGCTGAGTTTGATCGATGTGGTTTATACGAAGGGAAATTACATCTATACCTATATTCAATGTTTGCCTTTTGTATAAATGATTGCACAGCTGATTTCATAATTGATTGTATGTACCCATGTAGTATTATCCTGTATACGCCTTATTGTAAAATTTTATGTAGTAATCACCCAATAAAACAGAAGTAGAGAATGATTCCGAAAATTTGCGGAATCCTAAAGATATTAATAATTATTTAATATTTATAAATACCTATCTACCTATGTATATGACGATTCCGCGTGGTTTTTTTATGCATCATTGGCATTCCGCTTGTTTGCTCTCGTTATGTAACACGAATGCCCATATATTTTTAATTTATATTTAGTATAAATTTATATTATAATCAATCATAATTCAAAAGTTAAAAGAACTATAAAATTCAAGAATACACCTGTTTCGAGTATATTTGTTATATTATGATATTAAATTAAATTAAAATGATAATTCGAAAAAAAGATAAATATTTTTCATTCAAATTAATGCGTAGGTATCTATAATAGTAATGGAAATTTTTATATTTTTCACAACCATTGTTATGAAATAATAGTAAGTGTGATACCTAATATAAATTAAATATAAATGGGGTTTTGTTTTTTTATTAATGGCACTATATAGATTATAAAATAAAATAAATGAACATTATTGACAATTGATAATGATATAGTAACATACGATAAAAACACGATGTGTCTGATTCTCAAATTAAAGAATATAAAATGTCGTAGAATCTGTGATAATTTCAAAATATATATCTATGATTATAAAAAAGTATAAATTGTAGTAAGTGCCTACTAATTCAGAATATCAAACATGACAAGTCAAACAATTCGTTAAATGCAAACTGAAATAAATTTTGCGAAAAGGCAGAAGCGTCTATTGCATAAAACGACATATTATAGTGGTCATACCCACCAGCTACGTTTCAATAATATTGTATTATGTAATTTATTAATAAAATATGTATTTTGAAATGGCAACGTTGTATCTAAGACCACGCGAATTCGTATGTGTAAAAATTAAATCTAAGGAATCGTGATGCAGCCAAAACAACGATACAAGCACATGAAGTTTGCCTCGCGATTAATGACATGATACAAGTGACCCTAATCGCCCCTCCCCATCCATTCACGGCGCTAATAAGTGCACCTAACGCTAGGTCATTTTACTAATGACTTCGACAAAGCAGCATAATGTCGTTGTCCGGTTTTTGCTCGGTAAATTTAAAAAGATATGGTCGCTGTGACGCTGTTCGTTGAAAATAAAAAAACGTAAGGTTTTTGTAAAAAAAACATGTAAGCGTATAATGACGATAATCATAATAATTACAATGGATTTAAATGTTTAAATAATAACGTTATACCAAACACTGCACGCACCGAATTATAGAAATAATTATTAGATACATACTTATAGCCTATGTTTTCTACCAATACAAAATATCACCTTGTAGACGCGCTTGTATATTATTATATTGTTATTATGTTACTACAGCGTTGAACAAATTAAATCCGTGAGCACGGTAACGCGCCGCGGCTGAAGGTGAATCGAATTTTTAACGCTCTTTAACACGTCGTCTGTTGCAACAATATAATAGTAAAACGTGTCGTTATTTATAACTACTTTGATCGATCCAATTTATATAGGTATAGTGGCCACCAATAATCGAAGACACGCGTCTAAGACACCGTAGCTAGACGGTATAATCGATTTCAGACATTTATTGACGAATTGAACTCATCGTGGGTACGGCTTACACTGTATGATATAAAAAATCTATAGGACAACGCAACTGCAGCTGATACAATATTGTTAACCGCAACGACGAATTTGCATATACTATATAATTATCTTGTTCGATATTTTTTAAATCATATAGAAAATATGTACCATTTAAATGTTGAGGTTTATTTATCACTCGTACCTAAGCTTTCGCACGACTGATAATAACCATAGTTTCTCTCACGTCATTGATGTTAACCTAAAATCAGTGGTGTATGTTTAGTGAAGATAGAAATGCCGTATTCGACATCCATTATATTATATATATAATATCAATTATCGTCATAATATAATTTACGAAGGTTAGTGAATACGTTACCTAATGAAAATAATTAACTCAAGTTTCAATCTCGAAGTTAACAAAAATAATTAATTTAACTCGTTTAAGTGTTTTTGTTCACATTTACCCTATTTTTTAAAGGAACGTAATCGAAAATATATTATTATAACTATATTTATTTACTATACATAGTAACATTAGTACGATTGGATAGTTTTTATATAAAACCAGCTAAAAAATCAATTAACACCAACAAGTTCAAAAACAATTCATTTAATTTTAAATTGATGGTTTATTTTTAAATTAAACTTAAATCAATAGTAAATAAATAAATTAGAGATTCGATCAAGCTTGTGTTTTATAACGAAACAGATCTGTCTGAATTATGAGAACTATACCTTAGTAATCGTATAAAACTAGTGAAAACTCAATCGAATTTGTCATAATATTAAATTTTCTTAAAAATGACGAAACTTTTCACTTTTTAAGAATTCAACTCCCACCAAACCACTGAAATTATATTTTTAAAATTTTAAAATGTCCTAAATTTTGTAAAGATGAAATAATTTAAAAAAATATAAGCAAGTATTGTTTGAAWGTGAAATTCAAGACGGTTAAATCACATTTCTAGAAGTATTTTATGGCCTACACCTTTGATCCTAACATCCCTACCTACACATCTATCATATTATGTATTATTTGATTAGAAAGATTTAATATTCACAATATAAGATTCGAATTGTAAGCGTATAATAATATGTCCTTCTCGTAGTTGTTATATGTACCTACATCATTGTTKTTCGACGAAAACGAATATCAAGATACGATAAACGTGTCGTCGGCAGCACCTGTTCCACGCGACAGCCGAGTCGTCAATGCCGTTCGTTTGTAGTTTGTATACATAATATTATAATACCTATCGCCGTATCGTCGCCGSTCTGCCACTCCCCCTCCACAAACGCCGGAAGTTCACTCGTTATTCAACATTGACGTGTCGTAATTCGACGATGAATATAATATGTACACAATACACATTGATACTCGCCATCAGCTTTATACAAAATGTGATCACMTCTACTGAGCGACGACAATATTTTTACGGATTGATATTATTTCTCCGGTATCATCACACACCATACATATTAGGTATTTATAGGTGTTACCTAAAATATATTTATATTACAATATCGCATAATAATTGTCTACACGAAATAGTATTAAATGAACGTAATAAGACATTTTTTCAAAATTCTATATTTTGCAAAATAACAATTTTTTTTGATTTACAATTTTTTTTTTTAGTTTCATTTAAAATAAATACACTTATATATCAAAAAGTTGAAAAGATATTCAAACATAAAATCTTTCTTTGTATTTATTAATAACCATACAAAAAGAAAAAACAAAAATTAAAAAAGAAAATATTTATATATACATATAAAAGTATTAGTATATATATAATATGACTAAAATTGTAAAAAAAACACGCTGATTCAGAAAAGTACGATGGCCTCACGTTCTTACAATCTACATACATATATATCGTTGACACTATATATAAGGTTACACTTAGAGAGTTCTACATTTATATTTTTTCGTTGCCGCATGTGTTACATTGTACACAACAATATATATGGGAAACAAAGAAAAAATTTTTATTAAACATAATTATTAAACATAATCTATACGAAAGGTAACACAATTCCAAAATAACTCTACTTAATTAGTGCATTTATTTTCGTTTGTACTGTTCCTTCGTTATATCCTATTCGTTTTGAAAATATTTATACARTATAATATTATGTAGTTCATTGATTCGTACTCATTATACTTCGAGTGAAAACAAAAGACAGAATTCCACCGGGATGGGTATATATAATTCGAACGTTAAGAATATAATTTATATCATTACGAAGTGTATGAGTTAATAATAAAAAAAAAATGTTATTCGATGCATTTACATACACAATATACTATTATACCCATCCCCCGAAATTTACCTACTGATATAATAATATATAAGTACTTCAAGCATTGCACACGTTTTCACACCAATTCGCGAATAATACTGGGTTCCAATAAAGAAAAAAACCATTTATTATAAATTCGTATAAAAAAAATTTAAAAATGCGCTACATTAAAATTTAAAATCTAAATGGGTTTTGAATCTAATGAATCAAATATTATAATATACAATATTGTACGCAATATGCATATAATAATAAATAYAATACATATTATTGTTTTAGTTTAGTTATGTTTGTTTATACGTATTTGATTTGTAGTTACATGTACACCTCAGACTAACAGCGTCAAAGTCTAATTTTTACTGCTGCATTTACACATTTTTTGTTTTTTACTTTTTTTTGTTTAAATATTTTTTAGTTAATTATATGGACATTTTTTTTCTTCAAATAATTCATTTTTATATAATTATATATTGTGTTTTTTTATTATTATTATTATTATTATTATTTTTGAGTGTGCTTTTTATTATTGGTGATTGTGTCATATTATATCCGCCAGCTGTTCTCCTCCATTCGGTTAGGAACGTTTAATCGTATTGGACCATCACTATTTGGTTTTGGCGTCTTCAGTCGTTTTGAAACCGTTGACGATGCCGTTTGAATAGTACACTACGTTGTCGTGTTCGTTGGAGGAACACTTGCTGTAACTCGCTCCTTCCACCGGCTGTAAAACAACAACAATTATACATGAATAAAAAGCCATACAGGTACATACACAACTGCAGCTAGTTAATACTTAAATGTATACATACTTATTAACGCCACATCAAGGCTGGGCGTTAACGAGCTTGACGATTATAATAACTTATCATTAATAAATAAACCTGCAAGTCAGTATGGTACTAAGTAGGTAATCATTATTTTTTGTCCCTTAAATTTAACTGTCCTACAACCAATACGTACGAGCTAATTATGTAGTTACTATAATTACATTATTTGTCACGTGCTATAGCGTAGTTTTTTTCCGACACGATCAAGTACCTTTAGTTGGTATACTTTTCTTACAGAATTATTTAAAATACTTACAGATTTTATTTCAGAACAGATATATTTTCTATATATTTATTGAGGGAGAGAGAGAGTAATACATTTTTTAAGACTAATGATGAGAATGCTTATATTTTCAGATATGTGAAATTGTTAACATTTTATACATAAGGGAAACGCTGCAGATTAGAGTAATCCACGAAAGTGTACTCCATTAATCACCAACATGTCTAAACATTAAATGTTTGAAGTAAAAAAAATTTTTGTTCAATATTTGATACATTTTATTCACCAAAAATGTTGATAAGTATGAAGTATAAAAATAAAGATATACATTGATTATAATTGCAGCGATTCTCGGAAGTAGATTTTAATGAATTTAAATTTCATAATATTCTTATTTTCTGGGGAAATTTTTAGTAGAAACTAAATTTTTCTTTTGAGAATTTGTTGTCAACGGGTTTTATTATTATATGCATAACCATAAAGGAATTTAAATTTGTTTCGTTTCAAAAACATTTTCAATATTACATATATATATATATATAATAGAAAGCTTCTTTAGCTATCACGCCCCAGTTTCGTGTGAATACACCACAAAAGCCACAGAAAAGTGAAATTACGAACATCCCCTCGCACACCAATCTATATTATACATTCGTATTTATTGAGAAAACTGCAGTTACACGCGCATATACAATGCCTAAATATTATGATTTATAATATATATATATATATATATATATTTATTAATAATACATATAATAAATAATAGCAAGTGAGTTGTTTTTATGTCCCCAATCGTAAAATCTATAAATCTTAGAGTTCAGGCTTTTAAGAAGTCTAAAGTATATAAGCGGACGACTACACATACACCGAAATCCTTTAAGAGTTTAGGTGCGGTGGTAGGTATATATTATAATATACTATGTATAGTAGGTATGCATGTGGATTAAGTGAGGACGACCACTGAGAAAATATATTTATATATGTAATTTATATTCAAAAACAAAAGTCAATGTTGGCATAACGCATGTTTACGCAATATACTGAATAAGTTATAATGCTCGACAAGTCTATATAAAATATACTGCACTGGCTTTTCGAATTAAAATATTCGGTTAGACTCACATTTGAATATGTTCTATAAACTACACATATAAAGTTTAAAGTTAAGATATATATATATATCTTATAGGTATTAGAAAACAATACACCGCTAAATTGTCTGCATTAATAAAAAGACACTTAGGAAGGTTAATTATTTTTGTTTTGCTCTCGCCAATTTTAGCTTATGCGTATATTTTAAAATGATAGAGAAATAGGGAAATCATTAAGGAATTGTAAAAAAAATATTGTGATTTTTAATTTTATATTTTTATTTTCATTATACCTAATAACCCAAATATTTATTTTATTGAATTCCCTTCAAAAAATATAAATATGGTTGTTTGTAATTAAAATTACAATAGAACTGAGGTTTAAGTTTAAGCCGGTGTTCGTTAATTGCACTGATTTTTCTAGACTACCTGAGATCTATACATCTTTTGTATTATATTTTGTGTTTTGGCTTTATTATGGTCCTTGCTAAAGAAAAGGGAAAACAATGATATGAAAACGCCATAAGTTTGTATGGGAAAATGAAAAWAAATAATATTAAATGTTATTGATTTCAACTAATAATTAAACCTACCTATACATTTCCAYCACGAATATTGTATGACTAAAATATCCAGTTTTCCCTTTCTTCTGGGCAATTATAATCAAATATGTAATTGCATAAAGGTATACAATAACAATCGATATAAGGATAAGGCTGAAATACAGTATATACTTAACATAAGAACTCAGGCGAGTCAATTAAGTATAATTTTTCCGTGACATTTAGTGAAACGTACATGGCACGAGTGCGCGACAGGCAGTCCTTGGGGATAAATAAAAAGTGACTGAGAGATCGATACAAAWATTTTCAACGTCATAAAAACGACATACATTAAGGTCAATAGAACACAGAAACAGTTGAAATTACAARGGCTCTTTGTAATTCGTCACAATCCGTTCGCATCCAATTTACAAAGCCTATAGTACTATTACATATAATTATTACTAGTTTTAGTAATTAAAAAACATACCATACAAGCTCCGTCGTTTGCAGGTCTCCGTTTACCATCACTGGTGTATTTGGATTTGTAGAAGTCTGAAAATAGGAACAAGAACATGACGCCGTGCAAGCCTATCCAAACCATGAAACTCTTCGGGTAGTTGCATTCACGGAACAACAGTTGGAACTGGTGGACGAAAATGCACACGAACTGTAGCTGTAAATATATATTAACAGGAAAAACAAACTTCGATTATCAACCACCGTAATAAATAATAATTTTTTTAATTTGTATTAGATGTATAACCCAAAAGCCATACCATCTGGAATGAGGTGAGGTACTTCTTCCACCAAATGTATTTTTGGTATTTAGGTCCCATAGCCGACACCATGTAGTAGAAGTACATAACGATGTGCACGAACGTGTTGAGCAACGCAAAGAAAGTACTGTGGCCACCTTTATGATAAAAAAAAAAAAAAAAATTATTAGTAAAATAACTGTTCACATATATTATAATATATACACAGATAAGATCTAGGGATTTTGAGGGGTCTTTCTCAAAATGTTATTCCGCTTAATCTAACCTACGGAGTGACCTATTTAAAAMGTCAAAAATAATTGTTTAAGAATTTTTTTTAAATATACTTTGAATTATTTATGACGTTAGATTATTGCAAAAATATTATTTTTACAATTTTTAATACCATAACCAGAAGCGGAATATTTTTCAAAAAAATGATGATGTTTATGAATATCCACTATTTAATAAATAAATGTTTATATTTTCAAACCATTTCAAGTTTAGGTGATCGAAGGAATATAGTACACCCAGAATGAGTGACCCACTTGATGTTTTAAGTTTATTTTGAATACTTTGGTCGAATTATAAAATCATAATACTAACTCCGAAAATTAATATATCCGTTTAAACGGACTACTTTTTAGTATGGGTAAACAGTATACARGCGAGAACGAAAAAAATTGTTTGGTAATATTTTAGCTATGATTAGGAAGAGTAATTTTACTTAGTTAAAATTACCAATAAATATATATTTATACGATTGATTGTTTGTACCTAATGATTTATTTGAAAATATTAGGAWTTTAATAGTTAACACTTTAAAAGTTTGAAATTGTATTAATTAATAAAAACAAGTACCGATAAAAATTAATTGAATCATAAAAGTAACCGGGATTTTTTTTTTATATTATTTTAAAATTACATAGTATTATATATTTTAATAAAATAAAGTATAATGGACATATTATATGATTTAATGATTATATTATAAAGTTAATTAATATCTACAGATGTCATAAATAATTAAGGGTTAATTACAATGTATATATCATAGCGGAAAATGTTTAAAATACAGAGTATAATATCAGTGTAATGTATATTATGGTACTATCTACAGATATCATCAATACAGGATGGGACAGGGTTAACGCGATTCATAAATTGATCAGATACTTTTTGCTATATATTATTTTTAAATTTTATTCGTACATTTATTATTTTTKTTGGCTATTCAGTGCATGTATATTGAATACACTTACAATATAGACTATTGAAAATTAATTAAAATAAGGGAAATTTAACATACATAACTTAATTTTACTGTCTATATA